ATGCATATTTTCGTTTTTTTTTTTTTCCGTATTCGTCATCCTTTCCTATCAAAATGCTTGCTACGGATGCGAAAACGCAGAAAGTCGAACCTCGTCCCAATTTTTTTATGACGGACGAAAGTTTCGGAGGCAGTGTGTAAACGTGTATTTATTTTTTAACGTGCCAAAATTTCGGACTCAGTGTGCAATGGCCTTTAGAGTGCTTTTTAACACACTTAAGTAGGACTTAAGTACATCTTTATATGTAATTTCATAATTACTTCTATTGTCTATAAAATATGGTTAAAGTACTGCTGAACGTACTGACAAGCATTTATGATAAACTAAAATACACTTTAATGTCACTTATATTGAAACGTGTCACGTATTTAAATATATTCAAAAATTATACATTTGTAAGTTATATTAACTTTAATTGTAACAACGTTAAAATTACAATCAAGTACTTTAGTGTGTTGTCAACACATCAAAATAAGTGCACTTATACAAAGCACAACAAAAGATTATCAAAACATCATGATTTTACAATTAAACTTTTAATTTGACATTATTACTAAGTGCACTTTTGTGTACTCAAGGGTGTTAAGAAAGTGTCTCTCTTTAAGTCACTTAAGTTGCTTTTTATTTAAGTTACATTACGGCAGTACAGTATTTTAAAAATATACTTTTAAGATCTGAAGTACACTACGTGTACATTTAATACACTTAAGCACACTTCTTTTTCTCAAGGGACATCACATGCAGACAGGATTGAAAGAGACTAGGATTGCCATGTATGAAACTATAAGGACAAAATATGTACTGGAAGCTTGTTTTTCTCCCATACATGTAGCTTCCAGACAGAAATGTATCATATTGTCCAAGACAACAACAATATATTTCTCTTCCTGAATGTGGATTTTTCAACCTGAGCAACTAATTTATGCATAAATGTCTCAGTATATGATTTTGAGGAAACTTTAGATGATGTATAAAGTCTCACCAGCAGGAAAGGCCCTTTAGCCGCCCAATCTCTAGAGCTTCCTGATCCATACTCTTTGCCCGCCAGAATCAAGAGAGGATGACCAGCCTGCTGGTATTTTTCTGCAGCATCAAATACATCCATCTGCCAACAGAAACACACACACACATATATATGTGACCCTGGAGCACAAAAGCAGTCTTAAGTCGCTGGGGTATATTTGTAGCAATAGCCAACAATACATTGTATGGGTCAAAATTATAGATTTTTCTTTTACGCCAAAAATCATTAGGATATTAAGTAAAGATAATGTTCCATGAAGATATTTTGTAAATTTCCTACCGTAAATATATAAAAACTTAATTTTTGATTAGTAATATGCATAGCTAAGAACTTCATTTGGACAACTTTAAAATTGATTTTCTCAATATTTAGATTTTTTAGCACCCTCAGATTCCAGATTTTCAAATAGTTGTATCTCGGCCAAATATTGTCTCGATCCTAACAAACCATACATCGTTGTAAAGCTTATTTATTCAACTTTCAGATGATGTATAAATCTCAATTTTGAAAAATTGACCCTTATGACTGGTTTTGTGGTCCAGGGTCACGTATTATAAAAACCAACATTTTTGCATAACAATCTAATATTAACTATTGATATAAATATATTTTTTTATACACTAATATATATTATTTTACATATTGTTATAATACTAGAGTTTCATACCGTCTCCCCAGTAGGAAGGTAGATGGTGCATGGCGCTTGCTTGTTTATAAACTTGTTAAGAAGGCGGATGTTGGCAAATGTGCCTCGAGCCATGACTGCATCGTTCCCTCGACGAGAACCGTACGAGTTAAACTCTCTCGGGGTGAGTCTAGGATTAGAAACAATATTTCATTACCCACTGTGAGTCATATTTCACTTTAGAGACAATATAGAACTTTTTGCATTCAACTATTTATATCACACAGAGATAGGTGTGTAACAGCTTGAATTGCTGAATACGCTTAAGAGGATGAACGTCTCACCCGCGGCTGGTCAGGTATCGTGCAGCAGGACTGTTACGAGCAATGTTTCCAGCGGGCGAGATGTGGTCTGTGGTCACAGAATCTCCCAAATCGAGCAGCACATACGCGTCGGTTATGGACTTTGGTGTCTGCAGCTCCCGGGTCTAAAAATGTAGCAGCAGCAAAGAAACTTATGTTTACAATTCTTGCCAAACCGTGTGAAAAAGAAGTGTGCTTAACTGTATTGAATGTGCACTTGTACTTTAGTATATTTTTAAAACACTGTACTTACATATAATATTAATGAAATAAAAGGTCACTTAAGTGACTTAAAGAAAGACACTTTCACGACTGTTTCTTAACACACTTAAGAACACTTTTAAAATGTAACAATGTCAAATTAAAGTTTTACTTTAAAGAACATTTTAAATATTTTTGTTACTTAATATACTAAAAATTACTCTTTAGTACTTCACAAGATAAACTTAAGATCATCTAAGTGTGCTCAACTGTGCTATTCTGGGACACTGTGAATATGAACTTAAATGTGATTTTAACATACTTTCTCTGTATTTAAAAATATTTAGTTACAACTTGAAGTACACTTGAACCCATCTTTCATACACTAGTACACTCAAGTGTACTACAAGTGGTAACTAAATTATTAATTAAACTAAAGAAAGTATGTTAAAATCACATTTAAGTTAATATTCACAGTGTCCCAAAATAGCACAGTTGAGCACACTTAGATGATCTTATGTTTATCTTAAGTACTAAAGAGTCATTTTTAGTATATTAAGTAACAAAAATATTTAAATACATGACATACAAGTTTGAATAGAAATGACAGTAAAGTATATTTAAGTTCATCATAAATGCTTGTCAGAACATTCAGCAGTACCATAACCATATTTCAAAGACAATAGAAGTAATAATGAAATTACATATAAAAATTATACTTAAAGGGTTAGTTCACCCAAAAATGAAAGTTCTGTCATTAATTACTCACCCTCGTGTTGTTCCAAACCCGTAAGACCTTCGTTAATCTTCGGAACACAATTGAACAAAAATAACGACTTTATTACGCCGAATCTGGTTCAGCGCCGCCACACGCTCGCGTCATGGTACTGTCGTGAACGCGCGTCCAAGTTTCATTTTTGGGTGAACTAACCCTTTAAGTGGATCAAAAAGCATTTTTGCATTTAATAGAAATTTAACCTATAATACTCTTCCATTTAACATGCAATTAAGTGACTGAAAATATTACATTCACACTTAAATATACACTATTATTTCAAAAACTAGTACTTTTTTAACATACACTAAAATACCCTTCATTTCTTATTAGGGTATAGGTATAATACTGAACTCTCAGACAAAACACACAAAAAAAATGGTATACATTACCAGTCCATCAAAGAAAGGAGGGGATTTAATGTAAGTAGAACTGGGATCCCAGGCATACAGCTTGTCAGAAGGAGCTTTCAGGGAGTTCCAGCGTTCATTCACTTTCTAAATATGAAAACACACAGACACTACGGTTTAACTTACTATATATATACACTTAACTAATGGTGTTTTTGTTATCCATACACTGTACGGATTCATGAAAAAGGAGTTTATAAGTCAACAGTACCTCAACTTTCTCATAGACCTCCTTAAACATGGCAGGAATGACAAACTGTCTCTCCACCGCCTGGATCTCCTCTCGCGTGGGCCAGATGTCCCTCAGGAAAACCTCTTTTCCCTGAGAGTTCACGGCTGGATCGAGACAGACCAAGAAACATTCGTGCTATTCATCCTCTTGAGGGAGAACCAACCACTGGTGAGATTAAATGCCTGGTAGATATTACTCACCCAAAGGCTCTTTTTCGAAATCTATTCTCACTGTGCCTGCTATAGCATAGGCAATGACCAGAGGAGGAGAGGCCAGGTAATTGGCTCGTGTGTTGGGATGGACGCGACCCTCGAAGTTTCTGTTTCCAGACAGGACACCCGCAGCAACCAAATCACCCTGAGACAGAAAGAAAGCTGTTCTAAATTTGAAAATATTATCCAAAAACGTTATAAAATGATGAGTAAAAGCTTGTTAACCTGAGTAATCGCCTCTACAACCGGCTCTGGAAGGGGTCCACTGTTTCCAATGCAGGTCATGCAGCCGTAACCAACAACCTCGAAACTAAAGATGCACAAATAATATATATAAACACGGGTTGTTATTGTTAAAACTATTAAAAACTTTAATTTTGGCTTTGCTACTTGAAATAAAGCTGAAATTAATTTCAATGTATGAAATAAATTTATGAAATTTATTTCAAATTTACGAAATGTATTTCAAATTTACGAAATTTAAATTAATTTTAAATTAATTTTTAAATCATTTTAAAAGTTTTTAAATTCCTTGTTTTTATTGTTGTGATTATTTTTTATGATTATTTTACTTCCTTTTATGTAAAGCACTTTGAATTACCATTGTGTATGAAATGTGCTATATAAATAAACTTGCCTTGCCTTGAAATAAAATACAAATATACAATGAAAAACTACAACAACAACAAAAAAACTAAACGAAAATCTGAAATGTTGCTTTGGCGACTAACTGTTCTAAAGTAGTTTAGTTAAGTACTAAAATGACTAAAACTACTTTACTAAACTGTATTAAAATTGAAATAAAATCAAATTAAAGCAAAATAGAAATATATATTTACAAAAACAAAACAAAAAATTACAAAAGTAAAAATATTAAACTTAAGATACAAAACTTAACTAACTGAAATAAAATAAGTTCAACTTGAAGAACTAAAATTACTAGCTAAAGCTAAAACTGAGCTGAAAATTAATCAAATAAAACTCAACATAAAAATAAAAGCTAATTAAAATACTATAATAGTATATAAATAATACTAAAAATAACACTGGGGCTGTTCACAGTGTTTTTCCATTCCAATGCGCCCATTAAACACGTGCTAAACAGACGTGTATGACCGCTGCACTCGCGTCTTTTGCAGCGTCTCGCACATTTAAGACTAAAAAGAATTTCAACTTCACATGCAGCGCCACTCTTCAATGTCAGTTCCAAAACAGTGGACCAATCAGAAGACCCTGAAGGTGGGGCAAACAATGCAGGCTTTTGTTTACAGTAGCAAGTTGGCATGGCAACTTTTTATTTGACACCAACATGGCATTCTGCGCTGTGCTTTTATTAAAACCATTCCTGAACGGCCCCTCAGTCAGACAGACAGACTTTGGCAATGATGAGCTCCTCACCCTAACTGTGAGAGGAAGTCCATGACCCCGCTCTCTTTAAGGTAGTATGTGACCACTCCACTGCCTGGAGACAGACTGGTCTTTATGTACGGCTTGACACTGAGACCAGCCTTTACAGCCCTCTGCGCCAACAGACCTGACAGAAAGAAAGAAATAGCATTACATTAGTTGTAACGTGACACAAATACATTTGGAGTTTGTTTACATGTTTATAATGAGCCTCTAAGTCAGTGGATCTTAACTGGTGGGTCACGACCCAAAAATGGGTAACAGGTGTGTTCTGAAAAACGAATGGCAAATATAAAAGAGGCTTAACCTTAGCTTTTGTTCCTCTACTGTGTTTTGGCACAAATGTATCTGTGAGTTGGTAAAAGCTGCCAAATTAGACAGATGCAAACACAGATGCATGCCCTCATCCTCAAAAACCATAAACAAAGCATGCAAGGTAAAAGAAAACAGACTACATTAAATACGGCTTCACTTGAAGCAAGATTAAAAAAAATTATAAAATCAAGCTTTGGTAAAATCATAATCATTATTAAAATCATTAAAAATTTTTTTTAAATGCTATGATTTACTAAGTCATAATTGTAATGAAAAAAAAACTAGACTATGACAAAAAAGTTATAATTATGTAATATTATGTCTTAATTTTGACTATGCAATAATGACTGTCACAATTTTGTCATATTTATTAAATGTAGTAATCTCATAATTTTGACTTTTCATGTAATAATTATTTATGACTGTCACAATTTAAACTTTTTATGTCATAATTGTGACTTTTTGTGTATGTCAGTGTTCAACTTCTATTTGTTAAAATTTTGACTGTATTATATTATCGCATTATGTTTATATTTTTAACAGTGCGAGTCAAAATCCAGCAAGAATAAACAGGGCTTTTGTCGACCACAATGTGTTTTACGTGGTTGCATGAAACCACTGAAATTCAAAAGACATTTAAAAACTAAAACAGAAACTAAAGACCAAGATTCTCTATTCAGCTTCTGTCGAGGTAATAATGTTGCATTTTGCACAGTTCATGGAAATAATACTAAAATAAAATGTTTCATTTAAAATAAAAATGTTATTTAATTTTGTAAGTAATTACTCAAAAAAAGATACTGAAATATATAGGTCAAATAAAAATGAAAATTAAATAATTAGGAAGAATTTAAAGCGTCACATGGACAACTTCCATGCTGTTTTTGGAGCCCCATTTCCATACACTTCTGAAATATGGAAAAGAGCCTCTGATAACCATCTTTTTCTGTTACACAGGGAAAAAAAACATGTACAGTGGGTACGGAAAGTATTCAGACCCCCTTAAATTTTTCACTCTTTGTTATATTGCAGCCATTTGCTAAAATCATTTAAGTTAATTTTTTTTCCTCATTAATGTACACACAGCACCCCATATTGACAGAAAAAAAAAATTAACTTAAATGATTTTAGCAAATGGCTGCAATATAATTGAAAAATTGAAGGGGGCCTGAATACTTTCCGTACCCACTGTATATGGGTCAAAGACGTTAAGATGTCAGCATCAAAAGACATTTACAAAAGTGATTTTATGTCCATAGAAAGCACATTAAATGTAAGTAAAGTGTCTACTTTTAAGGTTTCAAATAAGTTTTTGGAGAATAAAATGTCAAAATTTGGTTGAAATAATGTTACATTGTTATTCAGTGTAACACAATACGTATGTAAAAATTCAAACAACATGCTTATTCTGACGTGTACATATTAAAATATATAAAAGAATAAGGGAGCATATAAAATTTGATTGTGTTTTAAATTAGTAAAAGCGAGTAAAGTGTCTACATTTAAGGTTTCAAATAAGTTTTTGAAGGATAAAATGTCAAAATTTGGTTGAAATAATGTTACATTGTCATTCAGTGTAACACAATATTTATGTAAAAATTCAAACAACAAATGCTTATTCTGACTTGTACTTATTAAAATATATAAAAGAATAAGGGAGCATATTAAATTTGATTGTGTTTTAAATGAGTAAAAAATTCTTACTGACAAATGGGCAAAATTTAGGATAGAGGCACATTTTCAAAAAAATTAAAAATTACAACTATTTAGTATTTGGGGTGAAAGTAATTAGTCTTTTAATATGTCATAAATTGATTTTTGTTGTAAATAAGCCAGAGGAGATTGTTACACTGAATGACATTTTAGTGGGTGTCTTCTGTAAATCAGGGGAAAATGTATGATATTTATTTTTTGCTCAGAAAAACAAAAACAAAATTGCAATTAAATTACATTTTTTTTTAATAAAATTTTTTTTTAGGAAAAACAACAACAATTTAAAGCAGTATTACACTTTTTGTTATTATGCTTAAACACTTTTTCGTCTTTGACCCAGACGGCATCCCTGTGGACAGACATGTACCTGCTCCCAGCATGACTGAGGGGTTACTGGTGTTAGTACAGCTGGTAATAGCTGCGATGACCACGGATCCGTGAGACAGAGAATACTCCGCTCCGTTAAACTGGAAGGACACTCGAACATCATGGCGCTCAGGAGCCACCTGGAATCCTTTGAAGCCTTGCTGTAGACAGACACAGACACAGACAGTGATTAATGCTTAAGCCTTGCTTTAAAGAACCTATGAAATCAAAATCTGACTATTGTGGATTTGATGACGTTTCTATTATGTCCATAGCTCATATATATTAGCTTTGAGGCCCTCTTCAGTCTAGTGTGCGCCTAAAAGTTAACAAAATGAACTGTATACACACTTAACGTTTTTCAAAAGGAAATATGTGGAGGAAATGCGCTTCTAAAGATTCCTGTACTGACATAAGAAAAAAAAAATCTAATTTGGCAAATCATGATTATGATATAAAACTAATATATTTTTTTAAATGTTATGTCAATTGTTTTGTCATAATGTCAAGCTTTATGTCAATTTTGACTTTTTGTAATAATTTTGACCATCGTGAGACACTGTCATAACTTTCATTTTTCAAATTTGACTTTTTGTGTCTTGACTTGATTTCATCATTTTGTCACAATTTCGACTTTTGTCATAATTGTGACTTTGTCATAGTTTCATCATCTTTTTATGTCAGTTTCAATTTATGTCAGATTTCATTATTGCATAAAAATGTTGACTGTCATAAGGACTTTACGTCAATTTAAATTTTTGTCAATTATGACGGTCTTAATCTTTTAATATTTCATAATTTTGTTACAATGACTCACCATTTCAACTTGTGTTGCACTTGTGACTTTTTGTCATAATTGTGACTGTTCGACTTTGATTTACGTCAGATCTTTTATGCAAATAATTATGACTTTTTGTCACAACTTTGATTTATGTTGCTTGTTTTGTTATAATTTTGAGCTATATCAAGTACGACTATTTATTTAATAATTCTGACCGTCATATACTTTTTTAATGTCATAATTATAACTTTTTATTTCATAATTTCGACTTCATATCTCAGAATTTCAACTTGTATCTCACAATTATGATTTATGTCATAAAAATGTATGTTTTAGCAAAGTATGGTTTTCTATTTGGCAGAAATATGCTAGCATATGAACAAGACCTCTGCTCATCCTGTGATTTCATGGGGTTGCTTATCTTCTAGTTTAGTGATCACGGTGTTCATTTTTTCTCTTCAAAATACTTTTTGAATGTCAGTTGTGTCATTCACATTATTACGACTGCACTATACTTTATATTCAGCTTTGGCAATGGAGCTGAACTACCTGCCTTTTGAATGCTGCATTATCTCTAGATTCAAAGGGAGTGTGTGTCCTGTGGTGTGTTTTCTCAGGTGTTTCTGTGACATGTACCTTGGCCCCTAAACACGTTTTAAAGTCCTGCTTCATCTCTGATACAGCCACTTTGTCCTGTGGCCGCTTGGGACCGCTGCAGCAGGGGACGACCGTACTGAGGTCCAACTCAACAACCTGCGTGAGAGAGAATGAGAGACAAATTAATAACAATGATCCTCAGACTTAAGTACATTTTGCAGAAAGAGGTTCAGACAGCAGCGACTAGTGCTTATACAGTAGTGGCCAAAATTAATAGAACACTAGTATTATAGTATAAAATACTACTGTTCTTATAATTATGGCCACGGCTGTATATCTGTGAACAGCAGATGTGTGGGTTGAGATTTGGTACCTGAGTGAACTGTGGATCTTGAGCGGTGTTGCTGTAGTCTCTGAACATGCCCACCGCTTTCAGATACTTTTCTATGTAACTCAGCTTCTCTGCATCCCTCCCTTAAAAACACATGAATAAAACATGCCAACTCTGTTGTAGAAAGAAATGCAATTCCACCTTCCTGACCACAGCAGAATGTAGTTCCTCTTCTGAAACAGAAGTGCGCTTAACTGTATTGAATGTGCATCTACAGATTTAAAGTTTTTTAAAAACTGTACTTGCCAGATAATATAATATTAATGAAATAAAAGTCACTTAAGTGACTTAAAGACAGACGCTTTCATGACTGTTTCTGAACACACTTAAGTACACTTTTAAAAAGTAACTTTTTTAAAATACATTTTAAATGATTGTTTTAATAATCTTTAGTCGTGCTTTAAAGAAGTGCACTTATTTTGATTTGTTGACTAACATACTAAAGAACATGCAAAGTTCTTATTATAACTGTAGAATTTGATTTAATTTGAGTTAATATATTTTAAAACTAAATTTCAACTTCGTCAGTACAAATGTGTAATTACAAATATATTACATGCATGTTTCTATAGAAATTACATTCAAGTATATTTTAGTTTAACATAAATGCTTGTCAGTATATTCAGCATAAGTGGATAAAAAGCACTCTAAAGTTCAACTAACAACTGCATTTAATATAAACTTAAACTATAATACATATTAATTTAATTGCAATTAACATGCAAAAAAATGTATGAATCATTACATTCAGTTTGCACTTAAGTACATTCTTTTAAAGGGTTTTATTTAAACGGCTTGCACGTATGACAGTCAGCAGAAGTGAGAAAAAAGTGTTTATAATGTATTAAATATGAATATTTTTCTTACAAAACACACAATAACATTATAAAGTTTTATTACGGATGCGCGCTCTTTATTTGACATCTTTTGGACCGTTGAACAAAAACACCCACCCACTCCCATTCTAACGCTTGGAAGAGCAAGGATCATTTTTAATATAACTCTGATTGGATTTGTCTGAAAAGAAGAAAGTCATATACACCTAGGCTGCTTTGAGGGTGTGTAAAACATGGACTAATTTTCATTTTTGGGTGAATTAACCCTTTAAGGTATATTATTTCAATAATAAGTATTCTTTTTACAAGTATGCTGAAATACAGAGTTCTGGCATGAAACTCTAGATGGCGCAGTCCGATAGGTCTAGCTCTAGCTCTGACCTGGTGACATCATTGTCACATGGCAGCTGATTGGTTCTCTCCTGTATCGGTAGCCAATGAGCTCCATGCTCAATATTCAAATACCTGGCTTTTGTTTGCTGTAGCAGTTGGCAGCGCACTTTAGAAACCCTCCACCTCCCCAGCTCCACCTGTATAGATCTGCTACGGGGTGATTTATGTATGCTATATGGGGGTTATTCATATGTGTTATATGTGCAGCAGCAGTATTTCTTACATGCTTACAGCAGCATGTTGTGGATGTATTGGCAGTAGCAAGTCTCGGTAGTAGCAGCGTAGCAGATCTATTCCTCCAAGACCAAATACATTAACATTGTCATGTACATTACCATGCCAATCCCTCCGAGATTTTAACAAGGGTTAGAAGCTTTTAAAACTGATTAGGGACAGGTTTACCCACCCGTCTGCTTCAGATAATGAATGCTGATCTGGTCTACAGGGAAGAAGGCAGCGGTGGCTCCATACTCAGGGCACATGTTGGCGATGGTGGCGCGGTCTGCGATAGACAGCTGAGCAACACCAGGGCCAAAAAACTCCACAAATTTTCCAACCACACCAACTTGCCGCAAATGCTGAGCAGAGAAAGCATATAGTAAAACATAGCAACATTTCTTAAAAGCAAACCAAAGTCACCATAAAATTCTGATATGGCAAGACTTGCATACCTTGGTAACAGTAAGCACTATGTCAGTGGAGGTGATATATTTGTTGGGCGTTCCCTGTAGTTTGTAGCCGATGACCTCTGGCAGCACCATGCTGATCGGCTGACCCAACATGACCGCCTCCGCCTCGATACCTCCAACACCTGCTCCAAAAGATCGGAGCTTAAATCTCAGCTCGACATTTGCCGTTTATCACTGAATTTCTAATGTCTTTCTCTTTATTTACAAGCCCAACACAGATACACAATTCAACATCCATATATTAACAAAAATAAGGTAACACTTTAAGGTGTCCTTGTTGCACGTTACATGTACTTACTATTATAATAACAATTAATTATGCATAATTACATGCAACTAGCCCTAAACCAAACTCTAATCCTAACGCTTACCATATAGTAAGTATATGTAGTTAATTAATATTACTCAGTACTTAAATGTATAATTATATTGTAAAAAGGACACCTTAAAATAAAGTGTAACCTAAAATAATATTGAAATTATGAGATGTTATGAAACAAGTCAACATTCTGACATAAGTTTGAATTGTCATAATTACAACTTGTGTATTATGATTGTACGTAAAATGTCAATATTATGAGATACAATATCAAAGTTATGACATAAGCCAAAATTAAGGCAAATATGACATGCATTATGACGTAATATAAAATGTGAAAATTATGAGCTACTAAGTCAAAATTACGAGATAAAAAGTTGAATTAATCATAAGTGACATGCATTACGACCTATCCATGAAATGTCAAAATTATGAGATACTAAGACCTAACTATGGCATAAGTCGAAATGATTAGATAAGTCATAATTATGAAACGAAAGTTGAAATTGTCATAATTATGACATATGATGATTTATAACATATCAAAATTATGAGATACTAAGTCATAATTATGAGATAAAAGGCCAAAATTACCATAAGTATGACATGCATTATGAATACAATTTCAAAATTCATAATTTTATCTCATGAAAGCTGAAACTGTCATAGTTACGACTTATGACAATTTAGAATTTATATCTAGTATCTCATAATCTTGACATGTTATGTATAAGTCATAATTCATAAGTCGTAACTACGACAGTTTCAGCTTTCATGAGATAAAATTATGAATTTTGAAATTTTATTCATAATGCATATCATACTTATGATAATTTTGACTTTTTATCTCATAATAATGACTGAGTATCTCATAATATTGACATTTTATGTCATAATGCATGTCATACTCATGGCAATTTAGACTTTTGATCTAGTATCTCATAATTTTGACATGTTATGCATAAGTCATAATTCATGAGTATGACATAAAATGTCAAGATTATGAGATACTCAGTCATTATTATGAGATAAAAAGTTGCAATTGTCATAATTACGCCTGAACTATTATGGCCTATACATGAAATGGCAAAATTAGGAGATGAAAAGTCAATAATATTATTATATAATTATGACTTATGTCATCTATTATAACTTGGTATCTCATAATTGACATTTTATGTAGCCTATAGCCCTATTCGGATGGTAATTGTTTCTCAGGGGGACGTAAGTGATTTTCACCATTTACAGGAGGTAGTCGGTGATTTAATTGCCGTCTGAATCCAGAATGTCTCTATCTCTCACCACCGCCATAAAAATCCCCGGCCGAATTACCAACAGTTTTTTGACAAACACCAAAAAAATTGCCGTCCGAATCCACATCTCTGAGTTTACGAGAAGAAATCGATTCAAAATTCAGTGTTTAAACCCTTTTTGAGCACTCCCGAACGCCGTAAGGTAACATTGTACTTCGGTGTAATTTGCATACATATTTATTTCTGAAATGCTGGAAAGTATTTAAAAGAACAATACTTCATAACTGCTCCACCACAGCGACTGGCAGCAGAAAGAGAAGAAAAACATTCGAAATGGGTCTTTATTATGCCAGCAGCAGGTATGCAACACAATTTTAAAATGTGTCTTATAAACAGATATATATCGCGTATAAATTATATACAACTATAGCGCGTCTATTTTCCTATTTTTAAACAGGAGATTGAAATAATCAAATAATAAGTAGGATTATTTACATTTAGACATTTAGCAGACGCTTTTATCCAAAGCGACTTACTAATGAGGACAATGGAAGCAATCAGAATCAACAGAAGAGCAACGATATGCAAGTGCTTTAACAAGTCTCAGTTAGCTTAATGCAGTACACATAGCAAGGCTTTTTTAAAAAAATCATATAATAAATAAAAAGAAAACAGATAGAATAGAAAAAGAATAGAGCAAGCTAGTGTTAGAGGCCTTTTTTGCTTTTGTTAATCAGAAGAAGTCAGAATTATAATTGTATAATAAATAAAAAGAAAACAAATAGACAGAATGCAGAAAGATTAGAGAAGCAAGTGGATTATATAATATAAAATATGCTTGGAATAATAAGAATACATTTTACACAATAATAAGTATTTTAAAATACATTTTACACAATAATAAGAATACATTTGTAATAAAACTCATTTTATTTACAGCAGACAATCATGTGACTGGCCACGTGAGCACGGGATCACAGAACTCGCTCCTCCACTGTGAATAAATCGCCATCCGAATCCATGAGTTTTATCACTGAGGTGATATGTACATTTATTTTTGCAGATGTCCATATGAGAAACAATGACCGTCGGAATCGGGCTTATGTCATATTACCTAATGTCATAATCTCAACTCAGCTTAATTATGACTTAAAGCCCATTCATGCCAAAAACAATAAATGTATAGGTAACTAAAAATATTATTTAAAAGTAATGAAATTCTCGATGAGTTTTCACTCACCCCAGCCCAGCACTCCCAGCCCATCAATCATGGTAGTGTGAGAGTCCGTTCCCACCAGACTGTCTGGATAGTAGTATTCGTCCTGCTCAAACACGACCCTGGCCAGGTATTCCAGATTGACCTGATGGACTATTCCTGAGCCCGGCGGAATGATCCGCATGTTCCGGAATGCTTTAGAACCCCACTGTGGACCGATACAATTAGTTCTCAAGCCATCTTCATCGTCATATCAAATATGTCAAATACAGAAAGGGAAAATTACCTTCAAAAACTCAAATCGTTCTCTGTTCCTTTCAAATTCAAGGTCTTGGTTTTTCTGAAGGCTGTCAGACCTTGAAGAATGGAAAAGGTAATAAAGTCATTTAGCAGACGCTTTTATCCAAAGCGACTTACTAATGAGGACAATGGAAGCAATCAGAATCAACAGAAGAGCAACGATATGCAAGTGCTTTAACAAGTCTCAGTTAGCTTAATGCAGTACACATAGCAAGGCTTTTTTTTTTTTAATCATATAATAAATAAAAAGAAAACAGATAGAATAGAAAAAGAATAGAGCAAGCTAGTGTTAGAGGCCTTTTTTGCTTTTGTTAATCAGAAGAAGTCAGAATTATAATTGTATAATAAATAAAAAGAAAACAAATAGACAGAATGCAGAAAGATTAGAGAAGCAAGTGGATTATATAATATAAAATATGCTTGGAATAATAAGAATACATTTTACACAATAATAAGTATTTTAAAATACATTTTACACAATAATAAGAATACATTTGTAATAAAACTCATTTTATTTACAGCAGACAATCATGTGACTGGCCACGTGAGCACGGGATCACAGAACTCGCTCCTCCACTGTGAATAAATCGCCATCCGAATCCATGAGTTTTATCACTGAGGTGATATGTACATTTATTTTTGCAGATGTCCATATGAGAAACAATGACCGTCGGAATCGGGCTTATGTCATATTACCTAATGTCATAATCTCAACTCAGCTTAATTATGACTTAAAGCCCATTCATGCCAAAAACAATAAATGTATAGGTAACTAAAAATATTATTTAAAAGTAATGAAATTCTCGATGAGTTTTCACTCACCCCAGCCCAGCACTCCCAGCCCATCAATCATGGTAGTGTGAGAGTCCGTTCCCACCAGACTGTCTGGATAGTAGTATTCGTCCTGCTCAAACACGACCCTGGCCAGGTATTCCAGATTGACCTGATGGACTATTCCTGAGCCCGGCGGAATGATCCGCATGTTCCGGAATGCTTTAGAACCCCACTGTGGACCGATACAATTAGTTCTCAAGCTATCTTCATCGTCATATCAAATATGTCAAATACAGAAAGGGAAAATTACCTTCAAAAACTCAAATCGTTCTCTGTTCCTTTCAAATTCAAGGTCTTGGTTTTTCTGAAGGCTGTCAGACCTTTAAGAATGGAAAAGGTAATGAACATTTGTACTGAACAGTTAAAATTACGACACACTTGTCACCAAAGAGCAAATTTTAAGACAAGCACTCCTTAGTTTTAGTTTTCATTTTTAGTTGTGACAGTAACATTTTGGGAGTTCATAAGAAATTTAAACAATAAAAATGTTTTTTTTTTTTAAACATTTTAAAATGTAAACAGCTACACTTATGAAAAAGAAGTGTGCTTAATTGTACTGAATGTGCACTTGTAGTGTAAAAAAAACTGTACTTGCAGATAATATAATATTAATGATGTCAAATTAAAAGTTTAACTTTAAAGTACATTTTAAATCATATTATATAATACATATAATAATCTTAAGTCGTGCTTTAAAGAAGTACACTTATTTGGATGTGCTGATCATTATAATTTGAACTGTAGTGTGTTATTCAATATTAAATTTAAAGTTAATATATTTTAAATGTACAAAATTGCAACTTAAAATACATGACATACAAGTTTCAATAGAAATGGCATTAAAGTATATTTAGTTTACCATAAATGCAAGTCAGCAGTACACTTTAACCATACAGTATTTCAGAGACAAACGAAATAATTATGAAATTACATTTAAAGATGTTCTTTAGTGCTACTTAAGTGGGTCAAAAAGCACTTAAAATCAATCTAACTGCATGCAATATAACTCAAAACTATAATACATTTTAATTTAATTGCAATTAAGTGCAATAACAAGTGCAATTTAGTATCTGAAACTAAACTCATTACAATCAGATTGCACATATTCTTTTAAATTACCCAAAAAGTAAAATACTCTTTTTAAAAGTATGCTTAAGTGTACTTTGTGATTAAGCACTTAAACGCAAAGCATGCACATTCTGTGTGCTCTTGATTCAAAGAGATTAAATGAATTCTCAATTGTAGAAGGTAAATACCTGTAATACAACTTGAACCTTTTTTAAATATTTCAGCATGAGAACTCAGCACATGAAAACAAACATTAAACGGAGTCTGTTCTAAACGACAGAAAAACAGCTTTATGAAACTATTTTACATCTCTGTCAAATGGCGAAGACCTACTTCCTGTTGAAGTCGACCTGAATGGAATGATCTATGACAAGGTCTGCCGGACAGACTGGATTAATCTTCTCGGGGTCGCCCTGTAGTTTTTTCACTGCATCACGCATGGCAGCAAAGTCGACCACTGCAGGAACACCCCTGTTTACAGAGAACCAACAAGGAGACAAATATATAACGGCCAGATAAAAGGCAGCAGGTTATGGAGATCCAGTCAAAACCTACGTGAAGTCTTGCAAGATGACGCGGGCCGGTCTGAAAGGCACCTCCACGGTCTGACTCTGCGTCACCTTCCAGTTGAGGATCTTCTCCACATCCTCTTTCTTCACCAGGAACCCGTCACAGTTCCTCACCGCAGACTCCAGAAGCACACGGATGGAGAAGGGAAGCTGGTCTTCAAAGAGAAGTACAGAGAGGAACACAGTCAGGTAGAGTCAAGTCATTTCCCAGAAGCACAGTTGCTGTAACTCTGAATCAACTATTCAACAAGGCATGCTTACAAAATACCGTCTTACCATATCTGGGGTCTTTGAGCTTTTTAAGGTTGAAGAACTTGTGGTCGGGCTTCTGGGGGTCCAGAGGCTCAATGGTGTGTGCATAAGAGTTCGTCATAACTAAAAACACGCTTCCTCACTGCACAATCTTCAACCTTTAATTGAGAGGAAGAGAGAAAAATGTAAGTAACTTGCTTTTTTGACAAACAGCTAAATGTGCCAGCGTTATACAAATTATGAGTGTTGCTATTGTTAACTACAACTACTAAACATTATTTTCATTAATTGAAAAATAAAGCTGAAATTAAATAAAGTATGAATACTATATTAAAAAACAAACTTAAAAAATTAGAACTACTGCCTTGGGAACTAATTAAGTTTAAAGTTTTAGGCGAAGTACTAAAATTACTAAAACTGAAATGGAAATAAATGTAAAAATAAACAAATATTTAAGAAAAACAAAAACTAATCAAATGAAAAAAGCACCTAAAATTACAAAAAAAATGAAAACTAAAAATATAAAATATTATATTTTATTACATAATATTAGCCAATTCTAAATATTTTTAAATGCTATTTAAAAAAGTATAAATAATGTTATTTTAGTACACAAATACTTAAATTACACTGATTATGAGCACTCTTTAAGCAACACTTGAACACTTGATACTTAGCTGATATCTAATGCAATTTATTGATACTGAATGAGACATGATAAAATTATTTTATTTAAACAATACGTTCGCATGGCTAGCAATACCAAGATCATGAGTTCAGTTCCCAGAGAATGGATGAGCTGATAAAATTAAGACACTGAATGCAACGCAAGTGACTTCGTATAAAATCCAGCAGTCCCACAATAGTCAAATATTAGCTGATTATTGGCCCAGTGTGACCCTGGAGCACAAAAGCAGTCTTAAGTCGCTGGGGTATATTTGTAGCAATAGCCAACAATACATTGTATGGGTCAAAATTATACATTTTTCCTTTATGCCAAAAATCATTAGGATATTAAGTAAAGATCATGTTCCATGAAGATATTTTGTAAATGTCCTACCGTAAATATATCAAAACTTAATTTTTGATCAGTAATATGCATTGCTAAGAACTTCATTTGGACAACTTTAAAGGTGATTTTCTCAATATTTTGATTTTTTTGCACCCTCAGATTCCAGATTTTCAAATAGTTGCATCTCGGCTAAATATTGTCCTATTATTGGCTTATTTATTCAGCTTTCAGATGATGTATAAATCTCAATTTTGAAAAATTGACACTTAAGACTGGTTTTGTGGTCTTAAGTGTGTGGTAGGGCTGTGCAATATTGAAGAAAAATGCGATATGCGATAACTCATTAAATAATGCGATATTCGATATGCGATACGATAATGCTTAAAGTGCCACATGCTCAGATGAAACCGTTTTACTCAGCTGTTGCTGAGTCAGTTCTGTGAACTTCTATAACTATCTTGTGTCATATATATATGGTTATTTGTATGTATGTATGTACCAAGAGTTCCTGTAAAACCACAACAAGATGGGAAAAATTTATCTTATAAATATGCCTAAAATATTATTTAGTTTCTATTAAGTTTATTTTTTTCCAACTCATTATAGTGCTGTACTGATATATTTGTTTATTCACTATGCATTTATTTGGATCAAAATGTATGTTTATTTGTGTGTTTGAACCAAAATAAAAGAAATATATCAATTTGATTCAAACTAACACAAAAGCAGGTTAATATACTTATTTATTTGTTTGTTTATTCAGTACTCATTTATTTGAATCAAAGTTTTATTTGTTTTTTTTGTTTGAATCTAAATAAATAAACCAAATATACCAAAAACAGATTTACATATGTTTATTTATTTGTTCATTCAGTACTCATTCATTTGCTAATTTAAAGAATTGTCATTTATTTCTATGTTTATTTGTTTGTTTGAATCTAAATATCTCTCCATATATAGCATTCAACCAAACACAAAAATAGATTATGTATTTATATAAATATGTATGTATTTATTTACTTGTATACTTGTATTTATTTTATTTTTTATGAATTTGTTTATTTGTGTGATTGTTTGAATCTAAATAAATCTGAAAATAAAAATCTGATTCAAACAAACACACAAAAAAATAACATTGACTGAAATAAATATATGTGACCCTGGAGCACAAAAGCAATCTTAAGTCGCTGGGGTATATTTGTAGCAATAGCCAACAATACATTGTATGGGTCAAAATTATAGATTTTTCTTTTACGCCAAAAATCATTAGGACATTAAGTAAAGATCATGTTCCATGAAGATATTTAGTAAATTTCCTACCGTAAATATATCAAAACTTAATTTTTGATTAGTAATATGCATTGCTAAGAACTTCATTTGGACAACTTTAAAGACGATTTTCTCAATATTTTGATTTTTTTGCACCCTCAGATTCCAGATTTTCAAATAGTTGCATCTCGGACAAATATTGTCCTATCATAACAAACCATACATCAAATGGAAAGCTTATTTATTCAGCTTTCAGATTATGTATAAATCTCAATTTCAAAAAATTTACCCTTATGACTGATTTTGTGGTCCAGGTTCACATATTTCATGTCAAATATATTAAATATATATATATGTTTTTTTTTCTAAATATTTCCACAGACCCCAATATGAATAAAAAAAACCCTGATTTAAACAGTTAAACTTGGCCAGGGTCACATCATAAGAAATATAATACCTCCGTAGCAGTTTATTTATGTTTCTGTGATTTAGAAATACACCTTAAAAACAAAACATCTCAAGACTGCAAAATCACCAGGAACCAGCATTAGGTTCCTCCAGTGAATCACTGTCTGATATCTCAGTGCCAAGCATAACAGACTGAATTAAAGTTAATCTGAGACTATATCTGTGCATTTCTACAGACAGTGTTGTGTGCATTAGACTCTGGACTAAAATGAGATGAGGCTCTGTGTTTCTCAGTCTTCCAGGAACTTGTTTAGAGAATGATTTACTATCGCGGTAAAGTTGGTTTTATATTGGACATTCGTTTGACATTCGGACTTTCCTTACCTTTACGTGAATAAACGCGCTAAAAGTGGCCGCCTGTGCATAGATATAATGGTATGACGTGATACTTATGTCGGATAATGTTCTTTCTTGGTAAAACGCCTTTTAAATGTGTGAAGCGTGAAACAATGAACTCCACCGATTGAACACGTAAGGGAGTGTGGCAAAAATGCAATGCTGTCTGATAGACTTTCGTATTTTGTGACTATGACGGATTAAATTTGTTTTAGACAACATAATCTTGTTTTGTAATTTTGTCAGAGTTTTTGGGAAGGTTACTTTGGAAATGTAGGTTACACTTTACTTTAAGGTGTCTTTGTTACACACGTTACATATACTTACTATTATACTAACAATAAAATTATGCATAACTACATGCAAGTAACCCTAATCCTAGCCCTAACCATATAGTAAGTACATGTAGTTAATTAATATTACTCGGTACTTAAATATATAATTATATTGTAACAAGGACACCTTAAAATAAAGTGTATCCTACATTTATTAGGTTACAGATTACAAGTTACCCTATTTAAAATGTAACAAGTAGTGTAAATATTTCATTTAGCCTAGTTTATTAAAGTAATGTAACTGATTACATTTGATTAAAATTACAATTTCTAATTTTTTTTCTACATTTCTCTAAACTGTTAACTATTTTCAAACATTTAAAGCAGACAGTACTGGACACTACTGTCAGACTTTCACAATCCTTCATCACTTGAATTAAGATTATTATAATAATAGAATAATTTTAAAGCACAGCCACCACAAAAGCAGACTTTAGCACCTCTTTTTACGTTAGGATCGTTCTGAGGTTAAATACAGATTTAAAATCACAACAAGATTCAGTTTAATAGCTATGATGCTGTACAAGCCCAAATAGGAAATAAATCGGTTATAAAATAATGTGTCCTCTTCTTCTTTGTCCTAAACTCCTGAAATATCGGTGTCTCCTATTTAAGAGCAGCCAATGCAATTTTGGAAAGAAATCAATCAAACCTGTATGTGTGTGAAAATAATTGTTAACATTTTCATAAGTAACTGTAATTTAATTACACTTTTTTTTTTTTTTCTCAGTAACTGTAACAGATTACAGTGACATTTATTTTGTAATTAAATTATGTAATTCCCCAACACTGGTCATAGTATGTTGTAGCAACAATGCAATCAACCCTCTTCTGAGTGATTGAGAAGCTTTCAGTGGTTTTAATCGCTATATGTGACCATGGACCACAAAACCAGTCATAAGGGTAAATTTTATGAAAGTGAGATTTATACATCATGAATAAATAAGCTTTCCATTGATGTATGGTTTGTTATGATAGGACAATATTTGGCCGAGATACAACTATTTGAAAATCTGGAATCTGAGGGTGCAAAAAAATCTAAATATTGAGAAAATCACCTTTAAAGTTGTCCAAATGAAGTTCTTAGCAATGCATATTACTAATCAAAAATTTTGAAAAAAAAAAAGAAAAGAACATAAATCTTTTATGTTTTATAACTGCTTAACTGCTTTGTGACCAATATATGGCCATCAGGAGTTCATGGGGGTATTATACAACGCTTGATTTTTGCTGTGGCATGAAAAATTGGGAGAGGGGGGGTCGCATCTTTGACACTTTTTTCACCATTGACTTCCAGAAAATTTTCTGACGGTTACTGTTAGGCAGTGCTGGGAAGGTTACTTTGTAAATGTAATAGGTTACAGTTTACAGGTTACCCTATTTAAAATGTAATAAGTAGTGTAACTATTTCAATTGCTTTATTAAAGTAATGTAACTGATTACATTGGATTACTTTTTGATTACTTTTCTAAATTTAAAATATTTTCTACTGTTAATCATTTTGAAACATTTAAAGCAGGCAGGGTTAACCTTACAGTAGAACTCAACACTGATTATTGGCAGACTTTCAAAAGCCTGCATCACTTGAATTAAGATTATAATCATTTAATTTTAAAGCACAGCCACTACAAAATCAGACTTAAGCACCTTTTTTACTTTGAGATCAATCTGATTCTGGTTAAATTCTGATCGTTCTGGTTAAATACAGGTTTAAAATCATAACAAGAAATAGTTTGATAGCTATGATACTGTTTTTAAAATCAAATCTTTTCACAGCTATGACAGGAAACACTGGCATCTAACAATGCCTTGGGGAAAAAATCAGTTAATCTTAAAGCATATGCATAAACCCAAATAGGAAATTAAACAGTTATCGAATAAGCATGCATCTTATTCTGTGTTCTAAACTCCTGAAACATTGGTGCTTCGTATTTTAGAGCAGTCACTGCAATTAAGAAATAAATGAATCAAATCTGTATGTGCGTGTTTGTGTGAAAACCCCCTTTGTAATTGTTAACATTTTCATAAGTAACTGTAGGCTAATTTAATTACACTTTTTTTTTTTTTCTCAGTAACTGTAACAGATTACAGTGACATTTATTTTGTAATTAAATTATGTAATTCCCCAACACTGGTCATAGTATGTTGTAGCAACAATGCAATCAACCCTCTTCTGAGTGATTGAGAAGCTTTCAGTGGTTTTAATCGCTATATGTGACCATGGACCACAAAACCAGTCATAAGGGTAAATTTTATGAAAGTGAGATTTATACATCATGAATAAATAAGCTTTCCATTGATGTATGGTTTGTTATGATAGGACAATATTTGGCCGAGATACAACTATTTGAAAATCTGGAATCTGAGGGTGCAAAAAAATCTAAATATTGAGAAAATCACCTTTAAAGCCCCAGCGACTTAAGACTGCTTTTGTGCTCCAGGCTCACATATAATGAAAAATATAGATTTTTTTTAACACCGTATGATTGTTTTACAGATTGAGTGTGATTATGGCACCATTCACCATTTCTCCACATCATCCGCTGCCGTATCAGTGCGGTTTACCTCAGAAAGGTCTGTTGATGCAATCCGAGACGAGTCCTGAGCTTTGGTCCGGTTCACCTGGAGATCCTCATCGCAGAACGTCCATCGAGAAGATCAGAGTCGGTCTGTGGCAGCTCGTCCAGAGAGTCCTGAACTTCTGTACGAGTGTGACCGAGCTCCTCCGCTCCAAGATGTTTCTCTTCATTTGTGTGGGAAAAAACATGACCATGACCGGCGAGCTGAAGAAGAGCGGCGTGGAGGAGGTCTTGGAGAGGCCTGGAGGCGAAATCAGCGATGGAGCTTCAGAAATGAAGGTCGTTGTGGAGTCTGATGATGATGAGCGGGAATCGTCTGCGTTTGACTCGGATGAAGAGGAAGATGATGAAGCCAGGCTCTCTGATGAAGAAACCGATGAGGAGGAGGAGGACAAGGAGGACTGTGAGACAGAGGACGAGGACTCTGAATGGTCTGATGAGGATGAAGCAGACTCTGAGGCTTCAGCAGAGAGTCTTGAGCTTTGGGAATCGTTTCTCAACAGCGGTGACCCCTACAACCCTCTGAGCTTCTGCTCGTCCATCGGCTCCAGAACAAACACGGAGCAAAAGCAGCAAACTCAACCTCCGCCAGCGACAAGACCAGAAGAGAGTGAGCCAAATCCAAAACCACACTCAAAGGAGGGCGGGAAGAAGGTAAACATGTTTGTTTGTTTTCATATTATATGTTTATTATTTATATTTTCATTAGCGCTGTCAAACGATTAATCGCATTCCAAAATAAAAGTTTTTGTTTACATAATATGTGTATATTTATTATGTATATATAAACACACACACATGCATGTATATATTTAAGAAAAATGGGTTACTTTTATATATTCCATATATATGATATAATTTATATATGTAAATATTGTGTGTGCCTTTATACTGTATATACATGATAAATATACAGAGTACACACACTTTTATAACTTTTATTTTGTATGCGATTAATCGTTTGACGGCACTAATTTTCATTATATTATTACGTTATTTTATATATTAGCATTTAGATTTTTAGTTTAAGTTTTAGTAATTTTATTAGTCTGTTTTTTTTTATTTTAGTACTTCAGCTTATTTTATTTCCGTTTTTCAAGGCAACATTTCTAATTTGCGTTTTTTCATCTAATATTTATATTTTATTTCAGCTCTTTCAATTAAAGGTAAAGCAGCTTTTAATCATGTTAGTGAACAACACCGATGCAACACTATTTTAGATGTATAGAGAAAACAAACGGAATTAAAAAAAGTACTATTATATACAACAGTATTTAATATAAATTAAACAATATATAAATAGTGAAATGTAAATAAACAGTTATAAAATAACAAATAACCATAAACCCCTATTTATAATATTCTAAATTATATATAATTTTAGGTATTAAATGCTAGGCAGCATTTATAATTTATTTAAGTTTTTTTTTTTTTTTTTTTATATATATTTTCTTTTATTTCAGTTAATGTTTATTGTATTTCAAATAATAAAATTGTTTTATGGTTTTAGTTTGAGTTAACTATAATAACCCTGGTATGATGCCATTCACCATGTAAATATACTCCATTAGTGGCAAACAATTTAGCAAGCAGTCAAATTATTTGCAATTTATAAACAGGAATTGATTGTTTTGTTGCTTTCATTGTTGCTTTCATATCATGAATCCATAAATTGTTTCAATTTTTTGTTTTTATCAGTGCTCATCTGTTACTTTGCATTTTATTTTGGTATCTTTGGGATACTATTATAGTTTTTATTTTATTATAGTTGTTATTATTATTAGTGTGTGTGTGTGTGTGTGTGTGTGTTTCTATTTTAGTTTAATTTTAGTTAACAATAAAACCCCTTTCATAAACAAGTTATAAGCTGGTAAATGCTTCCTGGTAAATAGTCTTTGTTCTAAAAAATACAAATTGGACAAATACCTAAGAAAATGAGTATTAAAGTAATAAAAAGCTATATTTTCTTTTATTTCAACTTTATTTCAATTAACAAATGGTTTTTAATAATTTCTGTTTTGTACAGACAAAACAAACTGAACCAAAAACTGATAAAATAATAATAATATTTACAACAGTATTCTTTTATTTAATTGCTTAAATTAGTTAAGTACTTAAATTAGTACTTAAATAAGTTAATAGTAACAAGTCAATAAACAGTAATAAAATAATAAACAATTTTTGGTATTGTGAATTGTACATAATTCTAAAAAAAAAAAAATTTCACTTTTTGGCAAAAGTGATGCATGATTGAGCAACAGGCCAGAAATAAAAGGTTCATAAGACAAAGTCGGTGAATGTGAATGTGTCACGGTCTTGTCAGCAGATTATAGTTGCTATAATGCCAGCTGCATGACTAACATGCGTAAGGTTAGGGTTTGAACAGAAACTCTAGTGTGTGCTCCTCTGATAACAGGCCTGTGTTTTGTGTTATTGCAGGTGTGTTTCAGTGATCAGCTGACTGTGCGCCCCCTGGTGGCGTGGAGTTTCGCGAGCCGGGCCGCAAGGGACGGCTCTTGTTGGATGCAGATGGCCAGAGACCGAGAGCGTTTCAGAAGAAGAGCGGAGAGCATCGAGATGCTCCTTGAGCCCTGCCTGACGGCTGAACACCGAGCCGGAGTGTGGGAGAGACTTCAGAGAAAAACATCCTCATAATGCATCATCCTCCAGCTTAATGTGTTATTATCATCATAATGTAGCAGTTGATCTAGATGTTGGTGTAGTTTTTGGTGCTTTTAGTTTTGTGTGTAATTACTGTGTAATTTCTGTTGTTACAGTAGCGTGGTGCACTTTATTTTTATGTCTTTTGTCTTATTGGGATTTCATTTTGTGTTTTGCACATGTATAATTTTACTGTACTACAAAACACTGTAATTCTAAGACATTTCGTATTTTATATGGCAGCTGAAAAATATTAAACTTTTCTGTTTCTTGCTTCTGTTCTTGTTTGTGAGTTATAATATTTCAACGTGTACATTTTTGCACAAGTTCACCCAAAAATAATTTAAAAAGTTGCTAAAACTTTACCCATCCTCAGGTCATCTGAGATGTAGATGAGTTTGTTTCTTCATCAGATTTGGAGAAATGTAGCATTGCATCACTTGCTCCGCAATGGATGCTCTGCAGTGAATGGGTGCCGTCAGAACGAGAGTCCAAACAGCTGATAAAAACATCACCGTAATCCACACCAATCCAGTCCATCAGTTAACAATCCATCATTAAGATGTTTTAATCTTTAAATCGCTGCTTCTGGCCAAAATGAGAGTTCACAATCCATTATTTTGCTTCCTCTAGTGATAAAGTCCATCCTGTTGCTCCATTAAAAGACACCGACATATTTGTTTTTGGCTTGTAAACACTGCTTGATCTGTGCAGATTTCTCTCCAGATTCAGACGAGATGACTTTTTCACTGGAGAAAGCGTTATTATGGATAGAAGACTCGTATTTGAAGTTAAAAAAAGCCTTAATGATGGATTTATTTCTTACAAACATGCAGCTTTTGTCTTCTCAAGATGTTAGCTGATGGACTGGAGTGGTGTGGATTATTATGATGTTTTTATCAGCTGTTTGGACTCTCATTCTGACGGCACCCATTCACTGCAGAGCATCCATTGATGAGCAAGTGATGCAATGCTACATTTCTCCAAATCTGATGAAGAAACAAACTCATCTACATCTTGGATGGCCTGCGGGTCAGTACATTTTCAGCAATTTTGAATTTTTAGGTGAACTATTCCTTTAAATATTTTTGCATGTTTACAAATAAAATGTATATGAACTTGACGTATTACAAATATTGCTTAAATAGGTCTTTTGGTGAGATATAGCATGTTATACAACAGGACAGGCTAGAAAATGTCTACTACAAATATAAACACATTCTATGCAGCCATTTACAACAACATCACCTTTCCACCACAGTATCAATACGTTTAGAAATGTTAGAACGTGTTTTAGAAGGGTTAGGTGCTTGTTTAAGCATGAACATATTAAGAAAGACTGTTCAAACATGTTAAGTTGCAGCATGTTTTTATTAAATAAGGTGTAAAAATACAGTCAAACTCATTTGGTTACAAAACCATTATTTAGTGGTAGTTACAAAATTATTAATCGGTTACAAGTCACAAAATAAATAGTCTTTGTATACTTGGTCCCTGTGTTGCATCTGGGTCCGGGGGACAGAGACCGAAAACACTCACACACGTTTGTTTCTGTGAATTGTGGGGACTTTCCATAGACTTCTATTACTTTTATACTGACTAAACAATATTTTTGATCCCCCTAAGCCTACCCCTTACAGAAAACCTGTTTGCATTGTTACACTTTCAGATAAACATCATTTACTATTTTTAATCATTTTGGGGACCGGCAATGTCAAAAATTTCAGGTTTTACTATACTTGTGGGGACATTTGGTCCCCACAATGTAGCATAAACAAGTACACACACACACACACACATCTTATAGCCATTGCATTGCCTTACAGTACATATTGTGCATTGCATGAGCAGAAAGTTACACAAAATCACACTGCTTTAGAAAACTACAGCTCTGGATGAGTGGCGAAGCATTAAGAAACTGAGGCGATCAGTTTCTCTTTGAAATACTGATGCAATTTTGTGGCATCGGAAGAAAGCAGCATGAATGTGTCATCGGTGTACAAACCACAGCTGAATCTGTGCTTTTATTGCATACTATACACAAGGTTTTTGGTATTTGGATAAATCATTGTTCTGTTTTGCAATGATCAAATGATCAACGGCAATCTGTTCTTTGACAAATGAAGATACAAACTGCAAAAAGCCTTTAAAGTGTAAAAATAAAGGAAAAAATTGAGAAAGCATTAGGCTATATATAGATATAAACATTGTTTTGTGTGAAGACATTCAGAAAAGCAAGGACAAACTTTCTTTCTCAAGGGAGATTTCCTGTACATTCAGATCAGCAAACTATTGTCATGCAGTGCTTTAAAATCAGTCAAATACACTGCATTCATTTCACAGTAGTGCAACATAGTTCAGAATATCTAGAATCTAGCATCCAGTTTATGCTGCGTTAAATATAGACATCATAACTCAGTATAGAGGTAATAACCTCAATGTTTTTCCCTGACGGTGGAGATGATTGTGTCCTAAAACTTAAAATAAATCAATAGTACTTCAAATGATGTACCTTCACATGAGATCCTCCATATCGAAATGAATTGATTGCTAAATGAATGTTATGGAATAAATGCATGCGAATAGTGAAAACTTTTCCTTTTGTGTAAAGCTGCGTTCACACCAACAGGTGTCAGTATAAAGTCCAACAGCTTTCTTACGTTAGCCAGTCAAACAATGAAAAATCACTTGGTGCAGCTTTTCATTTTAAATGTATACATTGTTGTCAAAAAAAGGCAACTAGTAGTACTACTGTGAAATAACATACTTTGTGTTAACAGTTATATAACACTCATCTGTGGCTGAGCTGCCTCGTTACAGGTGCAGATTAATTTTAATGTACAAATAAACATGATCCTCATATTTGATTTCAGGCTCAATTGCTTTTAAAAGTCCCCTTCCTTTTTTTGTTTTGGCAACTAGTAGTACTACTGTGAAATAACATGCTTTGTGTTAACAGCTATATAACACTCATCTGTGGCTGAGCTGCCTCGTTACAGGTGCAGATTAATTTTAATGTACAAATAAACATGATCCTCATATTTGATTTCAGGCTCAATTGCTTTTAAAAGTCCCCTTCCTTTTTTTGTTTTAATATGTGAACTACCGCTTAAAGCTTTGGAATGCTTAGAATTTTAAAAATGTTTTTGACAGAAGTCTCTTATGCTCACCGAGTCTCTTACTCTTGATCAGATTTACAGTAAATATTATTACAATTTAATGTAACTGTTCTCTACTTTAATATACTGTAAAATGTAATTTATTTCTGTGATCAAAGCTGAATTTTCAGCATCATTACTGCAGTCTTCAGTGTCACGTGATCTTCAGAAATCAGTATAATATGCTGATTTGCTGCTCAGTTAATTATGAGTTATTATTCTGGATTGTATTTTTTTTAGATAAATAGAAAGTTCACAAGAACTGCATTTATTTGAAATATTTTGTAACATATTTTGTTACAGTCATTTAATGCATCCTTGCTCAATAAAAGTATTCATTTCTTGATTATTATTATTATTTTTTTTTAATTACCCTAAAGTTTTGAATGGCAGTGCATCATGGTTTACACAAAAATTGTAAGCAATAATATTTCACAATATTGCTGTTTTTACTGCATTTTTGATCAAATAAATGCAGCTTTGTTGAGCAGAAGAGACTTCTTTCAAAAACATAAAAATCTTTATTATATGAAACACCATGTAACGTTGTACCATGAAATCCTGCATCACACATTTTTTCCTCCCAAAGTAAGCTTACAGCTGATTTTGTGCTATTAGGATACTAAATAACACTGACTGACCGTCATCCTTCCCCAAAAGCAAAACCAGGATTCTCCTTCGTGTGAAAGTCTATTACAAAGTGCACTGAAGTGTAGTCGGACACCTTGGGAAGCACAGGCTAAGTCACCTTAATAGAGGGCTTCCTGTGCACACACAGAAGAGTGACGTACGGCACCCCGATAAAAGCCCATTTCTCGCTGGGCCAGAATCTGACGACGGGCCCCTGCTCTGGAGCCTCCGACGCCGCGTCAAAATAAGCAAAGCACACACATCCCAGATAAGACGCCAGGCAGATGAGGATATGCCTGAACACACGGACAAAGAGAAACATGTAGAGCAAATAATATCACGATAATCACAAAACAAGCAATTATTGACATTTCTGCAATGGATATTAGCCCACGAATGTGAATAGAGAGAAACTTTGTACAGTAATATGAGCCACGGTGTTTCTAATTTAATGTTTAAGCTTTCAGAATTTCCATTTTTTGGCAAATTATCGATTTCAATGTTGAAAAAATTTTTTTTACAATAATTGAAAAAAAAGTACTTCGGGATGAAGAAAACATGGACTGGTATTAAAGTTTTATTAAAAGTGCTTTCAGATTCAACTGGATTAGTAACTGTAATAACTTACAAACTTCTTTTGAGCCGAATCCCATAAAATATATACTTTACAAAAAATATAAAATACTATAAAAATAGTTTTAATACTTTACGGTCACATTCAGTTAATGTTATTTTAGTATCACTGATATACTAGTTTTTGGTTAATATTTTGAATTAGATTTTATTTTTATATTGTCTGTTTTCTCTTTCATTTTAGTTAAAGCTTTAGGAATTTTGTTGTGAGTTTGTGTCATTTTTATTATTTGTTAAATTTCTATATAATTTTTATTTATTGGTTTTAGTTATTATAGTACTTCAAGTTAAACTAAACAAAAATGAGAAATGCTGGAATAATTTTGATTAATATATTTTATTGTATTTTAGTTCACATTTTATTTCCAGCAGGGGCGTAGCCATCATTTCAGAAGTGAGGGGGACAGAAATGTTATATATATATAAAAAAATAAAATAAAAAAATTATATATATATCGGGACACGTCCCCCGCGTCCCCCGCGTAATCTACGCCCCTGATTTCAAGCAACGGAAATGTTTTTATGGTTTTAGTTTTAGTTGTACTTTAGTTTTAGTGGTCACATGAAATGCAGGTAAACAAATAAAATATCCTTTTTTCACTCTTTTACTTTAATGTCTTCATGTTTTTGTGTTGAAAATTCTCAAATTATTTTTCATTTTAGCGATTTCGTTAATTATTAGCTCACAAACCCCAGTTTGGGAAACCCTGCCCAGTAGTAGAAGTACATTGAGTGGGGTATTGTATTAAAAGCAATGTGTTCACTAGATGCTGTATGTTGAGTGCACTTGATTACCAGGCACAGTGTAGATACGGGAAGTTGACAGATGACCACATCTCACAGAAAATGCGA